CGTTTGACTATATGAAAAAAATATACATAATATTTTGCAATTGGGTCTGGGGTTTGATAAAAGTCTTGCACCCCAAATCTACCAAATAAAACTTGTTGTCATTGTAGTTTCAAAATAAATACGGTGGCACACAATAGATTAATACGATTGCACATTTCACGAACATAAATTTTTTTACCCTTCAATGGAGGAATAATATAGTGGCACGTGTCACCTTATGCACCACTATAGGTGTGTCACTGCTTTAGCACTTTGTATGTTTGGGTAATATGTATCTTAGTACATCGTCGATTGCAAGTATTTGTGACACGGGGTATGAAACCACAGGTACAAGTTCGAGTTTTGTCCAAATGGTCCTGATTGTCGGTATGGTCATGCAAAACTACTGGGACCTCCTCCTTTGGTGGAAGAAGTACTACGAAATATTCAACATTTAACTTCCTACAACTATGGAAATTCTAATAGTCTTTGTTCAATTATATAGTATAGATGTTTAACATAAAGATCGTATATTTTAATTGTAATGCAAACCGTATATAACCACAGTAGTAAGAAGAGAAAAAAAAACATGTATGTTTGAATTGGCACATGTCTTTTTGAATGAGGAATTGCATTAATTTTCAATTTTGGATTTACGATACGACATGTGAAACACCAAGTATCTCAAAGATATTTTGCAAAAAAATGATATTTAAAAGATAAATATATTCTATTTGAATTGACACATGTCTTCAATTGGAAACTCTTTATCTCAGTTCTAACCAGGTTAGTGGTCAGAGCCATTGAGCATGTGTAACCTGACCAAGCTTGTAGATTTGCAGTTGGTCAACAATGGACTTTTGAGCTTTCTTCTTTCATCCCTGTGGAATTGCAGTATGCTGCGGACACTCTCACTTGCTAACAATCAGTTGATTGGTACATTGCCTAATAGCCTTTATGATCTTGCCAAGCTTGCTACTTTTGATGTCCATAATAATAGTCTAAAGGTAGTATTCACTTTGGTTCTGGTAATTGTAAAGAGTTGGTCTATTTATATCTATTCTTCTTGAGGGATATGTATTTTGCTATGATTTTCATCGGTTGGAATTTTGTTAGCTCAACCAGCTGGATTTTTTAGGCTAAGGCTATTATGGATTTTGATAGCTCAACCAGCTGGATACTTGTTGAACTATCATGCAGGAACATTTTTCAAGCTTCAATTGATGGTGTGGACTCACTGGGTATAAGCTCCTTGGTCAGTGTTGGAACTCTTTCTCCTATATTCTATTCCTACTTAAACACCCCGAGTGTTGCAGATCAATCTGTTTTGTGTTCTTTACTAATTTTCATGCTTCAATTTGTTTTGTGTTCTTTACTATTTTATGTTCTCATGTTCCCATCAGGTGTTACACTTGTTTGAAAAGGACTAACTTCAAAAGAGGACTTACATATGTGGTTGGTGCACCCCAATCTGTCTGTATAATCAAGATTGAGTGATTTTTGTTAGTTACATATTTAGGGAATGGTAGAAGAGTAGGTAAGGAGAGTTGATCTGGTTTGTTTTAGTACTGCTTATTTATTTATTCAGCTAAATGCTATCTTTATGTATTAAGCTAAATGCTATATTTGTGTGATTTATATTTTTATGACGATTAAGCTAATGCCTTTCAAATATTATTGTTGGAGTTGGTTTTGTAATTCATCTTAAACTCAGGTGTGTCTCTGCTCATGGATTGTATTGTGTTGGAACTCATTATGATGTTGAATACTCAAATATTTTATTATGTTTAAAGTTTGTGGATTAGTAGATAAAAGAGGAATTGTAGAGGGAAATCCATAAAATGGCACCCTTAACGTTGTCCTATAAACCATTGGTAGATCAAATGCTCGCAAGTTGTAAAGTCACTTGTTGTGTTTTAATCCGAATTTCACTATTTCGATGTAATTTTTTTAGGATTTTTGATTGATTCCAAATGATTTTTTATGTTTTTGGTTGAATTTTGAAAATTCTTAGATTCTTTTGTTGATTTCTATAGACTTTTCTCCTTTTTTTGGTTTATTTTGAGTGACTTTTTTCATTTTTTTTCGTTTATGTTACTTCTATTTTTCATTATTCTTGAACACCCTTTCATACCCCAAAAAAACATCTACTTGCGAAAATTGGTTTAGCGGGTGCACGGGACCTCCCTGCGACCTTGATAGGTTTGTGCCTGCTATAGACCAAATCTTGAAGCTTTATTGTTATAGTACGAATGACACCAAACCATTGGTTTTGCCATGTCTCATGTCTTATAACACTATATGACATTTCATTCATTGCATTACCATCAACGCTAGATCATTGCTTCACCATCGACCACTATATCTACATGCATTGGTTCCTTTGCCGTATTGTCACAACATCACCTTCACAAACTCACGTGTGACATTACTGTGAAATTTACACCCCGCTGCATTGCGCGGGTATACAACTAGTATATATATATTTCTCAAAAATTAGGTCTTGATCGGGACGAGTATCGGGGTTTGACCAAAAAATAAACCAGGGACGGGATGTCAGTCTTCGTACCTGCCGTGGACCGGGATTACAAAACCCACCCCATCTCCGCCCCATTTGTCATGCCTAATTTTAGTAACAAATTACAATTATTAATTTTAATATCTTCAACTAATTTTTTAACTTTTTTTTTAATAATTTACAATATAATGACGTAATTAATTAAACCACTCCACTAATATACATATTTTAATATGAAACCATTACAAATGAAAACGACAAAAAATACATAACGGCCACCACATATCGTAGCCAGCTAAAATACACCACTAAAACGAACATGATCTCGATGTACTTATTGAAGTTGTGAGAGAAGCGTCATCAATAGAGGTCGAAACTATGAGTGAACATGGTACGGTACCATGCTTTTTTTTTCATATACTATGTACCAACCAATTATAATTAGTATGCAAAATCTTCTACCGTGTATTATCAATTTTGGTACCGACTTTTTTTCGGTTAGATCTAAATACACTAAAACTATCGAACATTCACATAACATGTTGATATGTATTGTACCACTTATCTCGACCTATAGAAAACATTCAATTTGCATGTAATTTAATCATTCACTAATGGAACCACAAGGGTGGTGCCTGATTGGTTTAAGTTTAGCTCCAAAGGTCAAAAGTACCTGGAGATCCCATGTTCAAAAAATCCCCTTGTGGCCACGGACGTTCAAATGCGGTGACTCTAAACTATCTGCAAAGCCAGTGGTCGTCCTAGGATTAGTCGGCTCGCATAGCGGGTTGGATATCCAGGTTAATCAAAAAAAAAAAACCATTCACTAATGGTCTAATACAGGCAACCATTTAGGAGCTGTCGAAAGGACCGTGACGGTGTGGACGAATTACTAAAGTTGTTAGGGTTAGGTGAATGAATTTAATCAAATTCTACATTTAAATTTATATTATATTTTATTAAAATCTAAAAACAAGATAACTTGAAATTAAAATTAAAAATTTGTTGTACTGTCATTTAAATTTTAATTATTAAAAAATAAAAAAAATCGGTACAGTATTACCATGGTATATGATTTCTAATACCACGTACCGACCAAGTTTAGATAGTTGGTATAGTACTACCAACCAGTTAGATTGGTAGATAATTGGTTGGTTTGTCTTGGTACAAAATTGACACCTAGTCAAAACAACGACGAATACGACAATATTTTACTTTTGACCACCTGTTTTGTGTGTAGTCCGGAGTCACCGCATTTGAACCGTGTCACAAGCGGATTTTTATTTCTTATTAGATTTGAATATGAGACCTCTAGACAGAGGTAGTACCGACAAAATATGGCCGGAATAAAAATAAAAGAAACTGAAATATTTAATTTTAGTATAACTAATTTGGAAAAAAATTAAGGTGTCACTTACTGAATGCTTTTTTTTAGATGAACATGACAATGGCCAAAAATTTTACCGGATAAAAACGAAGAAAATGACTGAGAGTTTTTTCCAGTAAGTGAAGATGATGACCCTTACCCAGGTAAGCACATACCCGGTAAAATTAGAAGTGATTTATATTACTATTTATTATCACCTTTTATAAGGATTAATATTTGTGTAATTTCTTACACTTTTTTAATTGTAATATAAAATTATGTTTATGTTTTAATTGTTTTCAAATATATTAATTAACCTCTTAGCGATTTAGAGATTGCCTCTTAATGTAAATATTAAGAGGTAAACAAACAGTCTATAAGACGGTAATACACACACATTGTGTATGTTAATAATAACATAAATCATTTTAAATTTATATAAATTAATAAAATCAAAAGAGAAAGAATAATCACTGATACCAAATATATAAACCTGATAAAAATCGACATCAAGTGTGCAAACTCAAGATTAAATATCTTGAATCTCGACTATTACTTTACTGATATGGAACACAAATGGACTGGATCAACAATAATGGAGGGGCCCAAAAGAATTTTATACTTAAAACCTTAATGGACTGTAGATGTTTTACTGTGGAAGACATACCTTAGAGTGGAGCCATATGGGTTAATGTGATGGCGAACCCAAATCTTGATGCCATAACGCACCGTAACGATAACATAACGAGTTATTTAGAACCATGTTGATTTTTTGTACAACTCTAAATAACAGTTTGGGGCCTTCGGGGACTAAATTTACAAATTTGTGAATGGGGGATTAATTTTGCAAGTTATTGAATACCTTTGGGACTTATTTTGCCATATGGTTAATAGTTTATGGACTAAACATGTAATTTACTCAAATTCCACCCCCATTGATTTCCCGCTTAAAAATTTGGCAAATTTAAACCTAACATTTGCTTCGATTATTCGTAAATCTTTATTCGAACCGATTCATTACACAAATCGCCACAGAAAGCTCTCACTAGGGACTGAAAAAGGTCGATAATCCTCTAAATTTCTAAGGGAAATCTTGAATTTGTTCGTGGATTGATTGATTGATTATCTTTGTAAAATATGGAGGAAGTGATGGATACCGCCGGCGAGTTCATATCCACGGATCCGACGTCGACTCCGGGGAAAAAATCGGCATCACCTCCAAGGCTTTTCATCAAAGAAATGGTTATGAAGAATTTCAAATCATACGCCGGTGAACAACGTGTTGGCCCTTTTCATAAGGTTAGGTTTTTTTTACTAAAAGCTTTTTACTGTATCTAGCTACTGAAGATCGAGGAGTTTTTTAGGGTTTAGTAGTTAACCATTGTGATTTGAAACAATTGAACAGAGCTTTTCCGCTGTAGTTGGTCCTAATGGAAGTGGGAAGAGTAATGTGATTGATGCTATGTTGTTTGTATTCGGAAAGCGAGCTAAGCAGGTAATAGTTTGTTTCATTTTCATCACGATTGGTAACTGCATTAGGGTTTGTATGTAGAGGAAACAATTGAGTGAGTTTGTTCGGTTTTCTAGTGAAACTAGAGGTTAATGTCAGGTCAACCAAAATTAGCAAACTGCTATTCCACCTCTTCCATAAATGGAGCTACAACTTTGATTTTTGATTTGTATCACCCAGATTCACCAAGTTTTTATTGCAGATTTGCTTTGCATTTTGTATCAATCTAACATCAAAGCCATTCTATAACATCCTAGTCATTTGTTCAAACATGTCACTCTCCTTTTCCTACTCAAAGAAGTACAATACCAATTTGGAAGTTAAAGACTGGCATGTTTGACATCTAAATTGAAAACACAAGCACTTTTCTGTTGGAACAAATATTGAGTATGTTATACCCTGAGGGTTAGCAAGTCTTTTTAATAAGACGGGTAAACAGGGTACAAGTAGGTAATGCTGGGGTTTAGTATAAACAGGAGGGATAAGGAACGCGCAGGGCATTCTGTTTTGTGCATACTTTTTGGGCATGAGTCCTGCAGGGAGATTCTGGCCTCTCTAAGAGCAACTCCAATCGAATGGCAAAACCCTAATTTTGCCGTTCTTTTGGATCCAATCGCACGCCAAAAACACCAAAATTTTGCCGGAGGAAGGAAATGAACGGCAAATTTGCCGTGGAAGAGGTGGACGGCAAAAGGTTGGAGTTGAGTATCTTTTTGGTGTTAACGGTCCCACTTATTTGGTGTTTTTTTTAGCGTCAAGGTTGGAGTTGTCCTAAAGGCAGAAAACCCCTTTGTAAGCATTCAATTAGTGAGAAGCATTCAGTCAGTTTCCTTTGAATTCAATTTCTTTGATTTTCCTGGTGTACATCAGAGTACTTAAGTTATCAATAACTAAACAAGAAAGATGCATTATCTTCGTTCATTATGTATTAGTTTTCACAATCCATGTATATATATTTTGTTTCATGGTTTTATTTTATTCTCTTAGCATTGTATAATAACCAAACAAGAAAGACGAATAATCTTTTGATCATCTCTTAGTTTTCACAACTCATGTATTGTTTTGTTGAATTATGCTCTTAGCATCTCATGTGTCCGAAAAATGTTGCAGATGCGTCTTAACAAAGTGTCGGAGCTTATTCACAATTCCACGAATCACCAAAACCTTAACAGCGCACGTGTATCTGTTCACTTTCAGGAAATCATCGATCTGGTAAGTACTAGTTTCCCTTGTAGGCTTAGTATAGATGTCTTTGATTACCTCTGAATGCAGGACTTATTTACTTTGGTTGACTATAGGACGACGGAACATATGAAGTTGTTCCAGGAAGTGATTTTATAATAGCTCGTGAAGCTTTTCGAGATAATTCTTCTAAGTACTATATTAATGGGCGTGACAGTAAATTTACGGAGGTTACCAAAAAACTAAAAGGGAAAGGAGTTGACTTGGACAATAACCGGTTTCTGATTCTTCAGGTATGGGAATTCATGCAAGACAAGTCTGTCTTTGTCATTTGCCTATTATAAAGTGTTGGATTACAGTTTGCTAGATTTTCTCAGGGTGAGGTGGAGCAAATTTCACTTATGAAGCCAAAAGCTCAAGGTCCCCATGATGAAGGCTTTCTTGAATACCTGGAGGATATCATTGGAACTAACAAATACTTGGAAAAAATTGATGAGGCCTATAAACAGTAAGTTCGAATGGCCGAGTTTATGAGTCACAAGTTGTATATAACGTGTTTTCAGTTAATAGGTTTGTTCCCCATCATGTATTACTAGAATGTTTTAATGCTGAAAGTTTTCTTCCTTCAATTTTTATGGTTTGATTTTTTTTCTCACCTATTTTTTGCTCTCTATATTTGAGTGTTTACATTTATCATAACAGTGAAATATCGCTAAGGATGATGTTATGTACCATATAATTCATAATTTTATGTAGCCACTTTTACCATGGTGGTAAGGTTTGTCCACGTATTTACTTCTTTAACCAAGCGATCCTATTATTGCATGCTTCTGGAATGTGAAACCATGCTTCTGGAATGTGAAACCATGCTTCTTGATCCTCTATCTTGTATCTATATGACGTCAACTTTTGTTAATCTTCTTGGATGTTGTCAGGTTTCTGATGCCTAAATATTCTTTTATGTTCGGTTTATTAGGCTTGAATCACTGAATGAAAAGAGGTCTGGGGTGGTGCAGATGGTTAAGTTAGCTGATAAAGAAAGAGAAAGCCTAGAGGTTATAACATGCCTTCTAGATTGTACACTTATGCGTCGACTTTTGTTATCAATAACTGATTAACATGATTGATACTGCCAGAGTGTGAAGAATGAAGCAGAAGATTACATGCTTAAGGAGTTGTCATTGTTAAAATGGCAAGAAAAAGCTGTAAAATTTGCTTCTGAGGAAAATGATACAAAGATGGAAGAAATTCAAAAGACCAGGTCTAGCCTTCAAGAAAATTTAACAGCTGAAAGGTGATTTTTGTTTTGCCAATGGGTTAAAGTATCTATTCCAAAGTATGGGGTATTCTTCGGAAAATAAGTTATGAAGTACCAACTAACAAAGTGAAAGATGTTCCTTTCCTCTCTCAGGGAGAAGATTCAGGAAAGCAAGAAGGCATTAAAGGAGCTCGAGACATTGCATAATAAGTATATGAAGAGACAAGAGGTCTGTTTGGTTGTCTGATCTTAATACTTGTCTGCTCGTTTGTCTCCTCTTAAGGATTCATCTCAAGAAACTTCTTTGGTTATGTCATATGTGTTGCATGAATAGCTTACCTACAGCCTTCATTCGCCATACATGGTCACATATCTTTGCAGCTTAGATTCCATGATTCCAATTCACATATCATCCTGGAAGCCATCTTTTTTCTCAACACTGCCTGTCATTTGACCTCATAGTGTTCTGTTAGTTGGAATAAATCTGAATGATGATAATTCTAGATGTAATTAGCTATTGTTATAGCGGTGAAAATACAAAATTGCGGTCGGGACCGATATTTGAAATAGCGGTTATAGTGGTGGTATAGCGGTTCATATAATATTTCTTAGAATTATATATAATTCTATATATAATATGCCTACATAAACATATCATTTGCAAAATAGGAACAATGTTCATAAACGAGCTAATCACAAGCAATAGGTTTAGCATCTGATTCAACATCATCTAATACGTTCACTTATTCGTTTAGGCTACCTTCCCACTCTTCCCTTTCTCCCCCTTCATCTCTAACGTTAATATCGAACGCATTTGACTCTAAAATATCGGTCAAAATTGCGGTAAATTGCACCGATAATTGCGCTACCGCAATTTAAACCGCAATTTGACCACCGATATTTTGCAAGGACCACTATCCGAGATATAGCCGTAATTAACAGCATAGGTAATTAGATAATGAAGTATTGCTTCTGAGTCATTTCTGGTGATCGATCAACAAGTCAAAGTGCTATGCTTGCTTCTTTCTAGACCAGCTTTTATAGACATGGGGAGTAAGAATCCCCTTTAATATCTTGCTACTATGTTCCACATAATATACTAGTTTTCCTATAAACTTGGTGTATATGTTCTACTTAACTTCTGTTTGCATTGCTTAAAGGAACTAGACACTGGGCTTAAACGGTGCAAGGATGAATTCAAGGAATTTGAGCGGCAGGATGTGAAACACCGAGAAGACTTAAAACATGTTAAACAAAAGATCAAGAAAATGGACGAGAAGGTTGAAAAGGTAAGATATAGCTCATCTCTACGTGCATAAAATCTAGCAATAATTTTTTTTTTTGTTTTAGGATTCAACAAAGATTACAGATATCACAAGGCAGTCTGAAGAGTCTGCTAATCTAATCCCCAAACTGGAGGAAGAGATTCCTAAACTGCAAAAAAAGTTGTTGGATGAGGATAAAATATTGGAGGAAATTACAGAGAGCTCCAAAGGTATATTTGTATGTTTGCACAAAAGCTGGATATGAGAACATAGTCATGTTATTATTCCATGTTCTTTTGTTTGATTATTAGCTAGTGTATATAAAATTTAGATGATTCCCTGTGAAATAATTTGGCAGCTGATTTGCATCATGGTTTAGCAATTGGTGTTTCACCTTATAGCTACCTAATGGTGTTTCGAATTGAATGTTGAGTGATAATTGATATCTATTCTTTTCCTTCTCGTCAACAGTTGAAACTGAGGCATTTCGTACGGAGGTTGCTAAGGTTCGTACTGAACTCAAACCTTGGGAAAAAGAACTGATTGAGCACCATGGAAAGCTTGAAGTTGCATCCACTGAAAAGAAACTTCTCACTGAGAAGGTGAGAGACATTCCTTAGACTTCTCTATTTAAAAAGTACAACTCACTGTACTATGTGTTTTTATGGAAGTAATGTGTCAATCCCTTGTTGATGTTGATACCCACCTGAAAAAATATTTAAACATAAAAGTAGATAAATAAAATTTTAATGAAATATTCATTGTTTCTCTTATTTATCAGCGTGGATGGTTTTCATAGAAGGCATTTCTGTTGTTAATTTTGCCAATATGTTACTTTCTTACTATGAGAAGTCGATATAGATTTGGTTTTTAGTTTGAATATTGTTGATGTTTGGCTGTAACTCTTGACTATTTCAGCATGAAGCTGGTTGTGCGGCATATGTAGATGCTCAAGAACAATTGAACGACTTACAGAAGAGAATTGAAACAAAGACTTCAAGCATAAAAGACATGCAATCTAAGTTAGAGAAAAACAAGCTTGAATTATCAAAAGCTCGTAAAGTGGAACAGGTATGTGACCTCACCATCGAGGGTGCTCATTTTTTATGTCTCTTTCTGATATTATTCAACCTCTACTCTTTTTGCGCATTAGCAAATTAGTTAAAATCACTCTGCGGTTTGCAGGAATGTCTAAAAGAACAAGAGACACTGATGCCTCTTGAACAAGCAGCAAGACAGAAAGTCACAGAGCTAAAGTCTGTCATGGAAACAGAAAGGAATCATGGATCTGTTTTGAGAGCAATATTGCAAGCAAAAGCTTCAAATGCAATAGAGGGAATTTATGGAAGGATGGGGGACTTGGGCGCTATTGATGGTAATGTTTATCTTTAAACAACCAGGCACGAGTCATCTGAGTTTCATTTACGTAAAAATTCTAAATGTGACAATCTTTAGTTTATAGTTCGTGACGGAATGCCGGAATGGATGGCTTCAGGATCTTCAATTGTTTCTTTTTGACATAGTATTATGGGAATCTGATAATAGAGTAGGAGAAGGTTTGACGACACGGGTTGGCTAGTTGGGCCAAAGGTGCCAAAGGCGCCAAAGGCCATGGTATAAAAATACTGTTTGACGTGGTGTGGTTATTTTTGGAAGGATGACTTAGAAGAAGCGATGTTTATCAAAGCATGTTGTCTTGAGAGGTAGAGGTTAACAAACATGGGGAAGTAGTGAAGAGATTTGTATGTGTGGACTACATCGAAGGAGTTAACCTCACATAACACGGGGAAACTAGTTTGGGGTTAAAAGGATGTTGTTTTAATGGAAATCTAATAGTAGGGACAAGATAAACATGATTATGATCAAATACAAATTTATCGTAATATCATTTGTTTTATCTACATCAGGAGCAAATGAAGTGTTGTCACCCTCTCTGGACCTCAGTTGTTATAAAACATTTGAAATAAAGCTGGTGTTTTCAGGATGTTTAGAAGCATCTTACCATCTATATTAGTAAAGTATCTCTCAAAATGATTTTTTACTTGCACCAAACTGATTTGCATTTTCTTCCTCTCATTAGGTATTTACAAGTTCCATAATCAGTTCACTCTGCTTTCCATATTTTCTGGTTTTCTGTATAGATATTTGTGCCCATAATTGTGAGTCTGTTATGTTCCTGTTCACTCTGCTTTTCATATTTTCTGTATAGATATTTGTGCCCATAATTGTGAGTCTGTTATGTTCCTGTTTTTGACTTGAATTCTCTTTGCAGGAAAGTATGATGTGGCCATTTCAACAGCGTGTCCGGGTCTTGATTATATTGTAGTGGAAACAACTGCAGCAGCACAAGCATGTGTTGACATGCTTCGCAAGAACAGCCTTGGGGTTGCGACCTTCATGATATTGGTAAGATTTTTGTTTGCATAATAGACTATCAATGTCCCTGCTGTCACATGTTCAAATCTTGTGAATTTCCCGCTTACAAATCAATGAATTTGGGTAATATAACCATCAACAAGTTGCTTCTGACGGGCTTAGGGAACACACTTCTTCTTGGCATGTTGATTTTCTTTTCATGTTAAATGAACAGCCACTAATTTTCTTTGTGTTCTATTTTCTGTCCATTTTGATCATAATGCTTCATGCAGGAAAAGCAAGCTGATCATATGTCTAGAATGAAGGAAAAAGTAAGCACTCCAGAGGGTGTGCCACGCCTCTTTGATCTAATCAAGGTGCAAGATGAAAGAATGAAACTTGCTTTCTTTGCAGCAATGGGGAACACTGTTGTTGCCAAGGATATTGATCAGGTAGTTAGCTTGTTCAAACTTCAGTGTAAAATTAAGATATAACATGTTATTTTTCTTATAAATGAAATGATAATTTCCTAGTAGACCCTACCAGAAATTGGTCTTAATCTTACAGTAATAGGTTTGACAAATTGGAAGTCATAAGGTTTAGTTCGTACTATATGATCTCTCTTTCAAACCTACACACTCCCTCTCTCTATGTATGTATGTATTTTTTTTGTGCAGATTATATCCCCGATTATTTTTATGTACGGAAGTGAGGAACATATTTTGGATGTAACGGTAGCCATTGCTTCTATTTCTATATCTTTTTTAGGCAACACGTATTGCGTATGGTGTGAATAAAGAATTTCGGCGTGTTGTTACACTTGATGGTGCTCTTTTTGAAAAATCTGGGACTATGAGTGGTGGCGGAAATAAACCACGTGGGGGTAAGATGGGGACTTCCATCAGAGCCACTAGCGTCTCTGGAGAAGCGGTTGCTGAAGCTGAAAATGAGCTCGCTCAGATAGCAGACAGATTAAGCAATCTAAGGCAACAGATTTCTGAAGTGGTTAGGCATTACAAGGATTTGGAAAAAACCGCTACACATATTGAAATGGAGTTGGCTAAAAGCCAAAAGGAGGTAAAGGTTCAATTGTAAATGTTTCGCGATTTTGTCATGCTAATCCAAATTTCTGATGAGTTATAGTTATTTTTTAATGGTGGCAGATTGAAAGTTTGAATTCACAACATGAATATCTTGGAAAACAACTTGATTCCCTAAAGGCTGCAGCAAAGCCAAGTAAGGCTGAAGTTAGTCGACTTAAGGAACTCGCAAAAGTTATATCAGAAGAAGAAAATGAGATCAAGAGGTTGACATTAGGATCAAAGCAGCTGAAGGAGAAGGTTGGTAATGGTATGACTATCTGTTTTGAGTCTTTGTTTTAAATGTTTGATTAACTAAAAGCTTAAATACTGCTTAGGTGTTGGAGCTTCAAAGTAAAATAGAAAATGCAGGGGGTGAAAGGTTGAAAAGCCAAAAGGCGAAGGTTAACAAGATCCAAAATGTAAGTTTGTAAGTATAACTTCATGTACAAGAGACAGATGAGTTAATATTAACACATGCTGATGTTCTTCTCATCAGGACATTGATAAAAACAGCACAGAGATGAATCGACACAAAGTTCAAATAGAGACGGGCAAGAAGTTGTTGAAAAAACTAACAGATGGGATTGACGAATCAAAGAATGAGAAAGAAAGGCTCGTTGCACAGAAGGAAAAGTTGCTTAACACCTTTAAAGAGATTGAGCAGAAAGCATTCAAGGTTCAGGATGATTATAAGAAGACAGAAGAGGTTAATATTACTGCTGGCTTTTATTGAGGTCAACCATTGGGTTAAATTTCTCATCCTTCTTTTTTTTTTTTTTAGCTGATAAATCAACACAAGGATGTGCTTGGAAAAGCAAAATCCGACTACGAAAAGTTGAAGAAGTCTGTAGATGAGTTGCGGGCATCTGAGGTCTTGGAGAACTAAACACTCGCTTCTTTTATATTATCACCCTTGTGGGGAAAATTCTTAGAGCATTCACAATAGCATGTCTTTTTCATGGAGATTTTTCTAAAAAAGTGGTACCCACATGCCAAAAATAGCTAAAAGATGGCTTTTCTTGATAGGAGTTCTTTCACAAGCTTAAATGGCCAAAAAACCTCTCTAAAAAACTCCATTGTGGATGCTCTTATTCCTGTTAATCTGGGTGACATTATGTAATATAATGCATTACTACCGGAAACAGGTTGATGCTGACTATAAGTTACAAGACATGATGAAGATGTTCAAAGAATTGGAAATGAAGGCAAAAGGATACAGGAAAAAGCTTGAGGATCTTAACAATGCTCTTTCAAAGCATATGGAACAGTAAGTCTTGCTCTATTTATTGCTTCTTAACATGAAAATATATATGAAGAATGCAACCTGAATTCTTCTTTTATCCTCTTAACCTGGCAGAATTAAGAAAGATCTAGTGGACCCAGAAAAGCTTCAAGCCACACTTGGAGATGAATCCTTTTCCAAGGGCTGTGATCTAAAACGGGCACTAGAAACGGTGGCTTTACTTGAAGCACAAATGAAAGAAATGAATCCTAATCTTGATTCGATCTCTGAGTAAGAACTTCTGTTCATAAAATTGGTCATTTTGTTAGTTACTTTTTAGTTTTCGTTCTGTAATTGGTTATCTTTACAGCTACCGTAAAAAAGTATCGGTATACAATGAGCGAGTGGAGGAGCTTAACTTGGTAACTAATGAACGTGATGAGACAAAAAGGCAATATGATGAATGGAGAAAGAAAAGGCAAGTTTATCTTTTTCCGTATGCTTCTTTCCCAGTATAAGTGGTACAGTTAACTTTTTTGCAATTCTTATATACCAATTTGGTTCCATTTTTCAGGTTAGACGAGTTCATGGCAGGGTTTAATACCATATCTATGAAGTTGAAGGAAATGTACCAGGTTTGTTAAATATAACAATACTTCATCTTTATCTATACATGAACACATTTGCACACCTACTCATTTGGCTTTCTTTTGATCTATGCTGTTACAACTTTCAAAATATGAAATAATATGAAATCGTGGTCAGTACCATGATTTGAAATACATGTTATTGTGTTGGTAAAGTGGTGGTATAGCGGTTCATATAATAATTGGAATTATATACCTGCATACATAACTCCAACATATTTTATGTATTCAATAAAAATATATAAGAATAATGATGTCCAAGTCCAAAAATTGAACAATGTGAATACACTTATTCAAATCAAGAGGTCAAAGTGATGTTGTCTAAATCCAAACAAATAAGAATAATGGTGTCCCAAGCTAAAACAAATAAAAAAATAATGGTGTCCTAGTCCAAAAATATAAGAATAATGAAGCCTTGATATTGTTGGAGTAAAACAAAATGAAATACACGTCCAAAATAAAAGCCCACAAGCTTTTGATTATTTCGTTTTTCATGAATTAGCAATTCGATTAAATAGATGCAATTTTTTAATTAGATTGCTGATTAAAAAGTTTAAAATAAAGGTTAGTTTTGTGTATATCTAATACTCCCCAAACCTCATCTTCAGATGGGATATAATGAGCTCGTTTTGTTTGTGGGATATAATGAGCTTGTTTGGTTTGATTTATTAAATTAGTGGCAACTTACATTATGATCTTTCTACAGATGATCACTCTCGGAGGTGATGCGGAACTCGAGTTGGTGGATTCATTAGATCCTTTCTCAGAAGGTGTTGTCTTTAGCGTTAGGCCTCCAAAGAAGAGTTGGAAAAACATTGCAAATTTATCAGGAGGCGAAAAGGTATCACCTCAACAATGTTATTTGCTTCCTTTTTTTGTTTCACTATTAAATTTTATGATATCTAATCAATATTCTCAATTTGTAACCAAAACTATCGTTTTCATTTCAGACACTCAGCTCACTAGCCCTTGTCTTTGCATTGCATCATTACAAACCGACACCACTCTATGTTATGGATGAAATTGATGCGGCTTTAGGTAGGCTTTTTTGGAACATTGGTGACTCCATTTCTATTGAAGTTGTGATTGTTTTCGAGCTCTATATCTAACTCACCCTTGTTTCGGCTGATAGATTTTAAAAACGTTTCAATTGTGGGGCATTATGTTAAAGATCGTACCAAAGATGCACAGTTTATCATCATCAGGTATTTGATTTCATTTTGTTTTTCTGATTGAATTTTGTTGCTTACTTCTAACTCGTTTTCTTGTTTTCAAGTTTCCTTTCTTTTTATGCGTCTTTTTCTTCAATTTTGTTTGAGCAAGTGTCACACACTTTGCACATGCCGTGGGTCTTTATGGAAAAAATTGCTCTAATCTTTGGGGTAGAGGTCAGGCCTATGTCTATCTGACCCTCCCCAGACCCCCAACTCTGGGTGGGATATATTGGGGTTGTTTGGTTTGGTTTTATGTATGGCCTGTGTGTTAGCAGCTTAATGAGCTTAATGGGACTCGCAGAAGTTATACAGACTGTTTGGTAATAGCTTAATGATATGGAAAGTGGCATATTCAATTAAGCTTTCGGGGGGAGCTTTATGCGGAAAGCCAAGTTTTTTCCAAAGCTGCCCCTCCCAATTAAAAACCACGCTTCTTCTGTCTATGAAAAACCCTCCCAAACAAAAACCTTCCCAGTCTATGTAGACAGCTTAATTCACACACAACTTTATTCATACAGAACTTTATAGAAAACCAACCGAACAGCTAGTCCCGCATACACACAATAAGTCTGAATTCTGTGTGTTTTCTTTATGGAAATATTGTTTGTTTTTCTGCAGTTTGAGAAACAACATGTTTGAGTTGGCTGATCGACTTGTGGGGATTTACAAAACCGATAATTGCACCAAGAGCATCACCATCAATCCAGGAAGTTTTGTTGTTCGCGAAAAGGTTGCATAAACTTACTTTGGGATTGTTTTTATTAATTTCGTTTTAAAATCTATTCCATGTTGTGTTTTAACTTAACTCTGAATCCCTGGTTGTAAATGCCTTGTATATTTATCTTCACACATTATAGTCCATCTTTTTAGGCTTAGGATTGAATCCTCAAGTATTTATTCTCAAAACACAGTAATGAATGCAATGTTCTTGATTGCAGTTCTTCAAAATCGTATTATAATCTTCTAGTCATGGCATATATATATATATAATATACACACATATAGACTGTTTGGTAATAGCTTAATGATATGGAAAGTGGCTTATACACACGTTTAAATTCATGAATTTCTGACATTTTTGAGGATGCTACTACTTAACTTAAGAATATCACTTCCATACACAAGAATGCCTAGAAAGCTGTCAGAACGTCTGGATTTAAAATGCAGTTTAGGAGGTCATTTAGGTAAATAACCCCTTGATAACTGATCCTAGTATATCGACTGTTACAGAGAACTAAGAAGATCATTGACTGTAGGATGTTCATCATTGCTCTTCGTTCTTCGAAGTTTAAAAGAAGACAATGATTGAATTGGTTTATCTGTTAGACGAATAAAACTGTAGCATATCGCCCCTGATATCGTTCCTGTTATTGGACCAATGATATACACCCAAATGCTGTTATAGGTGTTGCTAGCTAAAGCTGGTCCAACGGTGCGTGCTGGGTTCATTGATCCTCCGGAAATTGGCCTGAAAATAGATTTTGGAGTTACAGATTATTGCTGTTAGAACAATATTTGGTCATTTGGAAACATCTTTAAAATGTTGAGATTTACCCTGCTAAGATGGAAGTAATGCATACGGCTGATCCTACTGCTATCCCTGCTAGCTCTCCTACCTGCAAGGAATCGAATTTGTTTATGGATCTTACCTCTTACGTCCTTCGTCCCAATAGGAGTTTACTACCTGCTGACCACCTCTTACCTGGTAAGCGGTGCTTACCCGGTGAGAAGGGATGCTGTTTACCAACACACTCTGGTCCACAAATATACTGACCATGTAAAGAAGGGGTTGATTTCTAACTAGGTTGGTGCTTACTCAGTCACTTGGTAAACACCCAATTTTCAGTCTGTGCTTACCCATATCGTAGGGCCGTTTACTAAAACCTTATCGGGTAAGTACTTACCGGTATCACTTACCTTACTGATTTAGCATGGAAATGATCGAGAATCTTACTCAGTAAAAGACGTAGCAAGGACATAGATTCTTACCTGGTAAGTGAGGGTTCGATGCTTACCGACAATCCATTTTTATGGCTGAGAATGTTATATGATAAGGCAAGTTAGAGTGATGTTCTCTTATTGGTAAGCGCTTACCTAGTAAGTACTAACGGTCGCTTACTTAGTGCTTAGCCATTTTCATTGTCAGACATTTATTTTGGGACGCTGAGAGTATTTACTTCATAGGATTTAAGTTTTTATTAGATTGGAGAAGTGGCATAGTACTCGGGGTGACATTTACTTACAGCTTTAGAATCTGTGGCTACGGCTGAAGTGACAAACATCATTGTGAATGTGACGATGATTTCCATGATCAGAGCTTGTAAGTCCGTCCCTGCAGGTGTCGTTGTGCCCAAATGCTTTATTGGATGTAACAGTATTCGTAGCGCGAATGAAGCCAATATGGATCCTGTTAACTGTGCTGCTGCATACACAGGTACCTGTATACAGAATGGTCGTAAAACTTCGGTTTTCTGGTGACTTTACCAAACTCTTACCAGGTAAGCGCTTACCGGTATAGCAAGGACTGAATATCTTACTCAATAAAAAGCATATCAAGACCAAGGACCAAAAGTCTTACCTGGTAGTGATAGAGAAAAGATTCTTACCCGGTAAGCGCTTATCGGGTAAAAGATGCTTACCACAATTATTTTGGTGGTTGAGAATGTTACCCGATGAGGTAAGTGACTCTTGCCAGTAAGCACTTACCCGATAAGAGTCAATTAGCCTATGAAATAATTGAAGATATGCACCCAACCACCAGTAGGTCCTGGGGTTCATGTCCTTGTCCCTATCCCATTAACCACATGGTCCAATAATGGGTTCATGGATTCATCTCTATCACATTAATCACATGGCACATGGTCCAATAATGGTTCGAATTGGTTGAGCCATATAAGATATGATAATATAACGGCTCGCTTGAGGAGCCATGGTGTAGTCGGGATACCTGCTTCCACGGAAAATGTCCAACGACCGAAAAAGCTAGTGTGACCGCCGGGTTCATGTGTGCACCCGAGATATGACCAACCGCATAGATCATGACGGTCACAATAAGCCCGCCAACAATCGAGGATCCAAGTCGAGATACCGTGTGTTCATCACTCGTACTCAGGGCGGCTGCACCACATGTTGCGAACACCAACAAGAAAGTCGCCACCACCTCCGCCACTACCTGTCTATGAAAGATCGTGAAGTCATCACGGAGATGATATGGAATAAAACCAATTGGTACCTTACCTTTTTGATAAAACCGGGAGGGTAATGAGCATAGAAAAATGCCATGATTTTGTATCGGGTTTTTGGTGGTCCCCCCATGATGACGGGCAACTCGATATCGGCAATGTTTGAATGCGGTTTTGACATGGTTACAGACTTACGTAGATATGAAAAACGGTCGAAAAAACCGAAGTGAGAGCACATATGATATCTTCTAAGTACTCAAGGTTCCTACTTATATGCAAACTTAAGTTTTCATCCTCTTAGAAAAAGAGTTATAACTCATGAACTACATAAGAGGGTCCTAAACTAGTTGTTCACCGACGGGATGACTCGTTAGACCTGTTTTATCTGGCTTGCTAGAAAAACGGGCTTGGATTACCATTTTCGAAGAAATGGACGGACCTGGACTGACTTGTTAAAATTAATGGGGCAATGGAAATTTTTTTTGGACAGGCCCGCCAGACCCATTAATTTTTTTTATAACAATTAGCTTTTATAATTAAACTTTACAAATAAAATTGAAAATTCTTAATACTTCTCAATTTCTACTAGTGATGGCCAAAAACCGGTCCCGGTCAAAAATGTTGAGCCCGGTTAAGGTTAGTTATAATCGGTTACGGCCGGCCTGTTCCGGTCCTGGTCCCAACCGGTCCCGACCATTAAAAAATGTTCTCCAGACCCTTTTATTTATAATATTTTGAAGGATATGTAAGGTGCAACGGTTTTCATGATAATGCATACGAGGTATGTTAAATGTCTGATGTCTAATACATCCATGTCATCGAAGCTTCACTTAATTACATCCATGATAAAAGTGAAGGTCCGTTTCCGATTGCTTTTAACGAGTTCTCTTGAAAGATAAAAGTTCTTACATGATCACAATTTCCAAGTTTCTCTGTATATATAAAATAAACATTTTTAAAAAATAATTCGTCTGTTTGTTCACTATTTGCACAAAAGTTGATTATCTGCAACCCTAACTGACCCGATACGAAATCCGCCTCCAAAGTCATCAATGTGTGGGGACACTTTTTTGACTCATTCAATGGCTGAGGTTGGTCGGAGGTAGGGCTGCTCATGAGTTGGGTTGATCGGGTTGAAGACATTTGAACAACTCAAACCAAAGTGCAACCCAATCTAACCCAAACCGTACGGGTTGGTCGGGTAAGTCGGTTGATACTTTGGTACATTAAAATATATTTTCTAACCTTGAGTATGTTATTTATTGCTCATAATTTCTTTCTCATCATCAACTATTTGATATAACTTATCCATATTTTTTTACGTATATCACATACAGTTAATTTTTTCAATTTACATGTATGTGTTTACAGTTACTGAATATATATATATATATATATATATATATATATATATATATATACGAAAGAGTTATATAGAGATGTAAATAAGTTGAAAATATGTGGATACAAAGAGCATACATAATAATATAATTGTCTGATGTATATATTAATAGAAATTCAATAATCATATTAAATCCATCAAATAAAAGGATATCAGGTTCATCGGGTTGGGTTGAATTCAAATAATAGTAACCTACTATCAACCCAATACCTACGTTCTGAAAATTTTACAACTCGATTAGACATTGGGGTGCTTCGGGTTGAGTTATTTCGCGTTGGGTTGGGTTGAGTTAATCGAGTTGGTCGGGTTTTTTTAGCATCCTTTAGTCGGAGGGGTCCAAAATCAAACCCCAGACCTGTCCTATATTTAAATAAAGTCACCTTACGTCTTTACCAACTGAGTTACACGTAACGAGTGAGAAGTTTTATTACTGCAACTTAATGGCAAAAGTGTCATTTTGTGAATGTTGTTTTGTCATACTTAACCTACTTCAATTGATTTTTTATTAACCTGGATATCTAACCTGCTATGTGAGCCGACTAATCCTAGAGTGACCACCTGTTTTGCAGATAGCCCGGAGTCACCGCATTTGAACATCCGTGGTCACAAGAGGATTTTTATTCCTTCTTGAATTTGAACCTGAGACCTCCTGGTACTTCAATTGATTTTTTGAATTTTGTCAAGTGGATTTGTGTTTTAAATAACAAGTTGATTTTAAAATGTTACTACTTTTGATTGCAACAAAATGAAACCAACTTTAACCTAATTTCTATTTTGGATAACCAACTTTTAAAATCGTCATTTTAGGGAACCAACTTGCATCTGATTCCTATTTTGAAGAACCAATTTGCACCTGATTCCTATTTTGGGGAACCAACTTTCAAAATCGTCATTTTGGGGAACCAACTTGCACCTGATTCCTATTTTGGGGAACCAACTTTCAAAATCGTCATTTTGGGGAACCAACTTGCACCTGATTCCTATTTTGGGGAACCAACTTGCAAAATCGTCATTTTGATGAACCAACTTGCACCTGATTCCTATTTTGGGGAACCAACTTGCACCTGATTCCTATTTTTGGGAACCAACTTGCATCTGATTCCTATTTTGGGGAACCAACTTGTATTTGATTCCTATTTTGGGGAACCGATTTGCAAAATAATTATAGAAAAATAACTAAAATTCGTTTTTTCCCAAAAATTTATGCAATAAAATCTATTTTTCATTTCAAATCTCGTTTTTTTAATTCAGATATCAAATTGAACATTTAAAAAAAATATCCAAATTACCACAATAAAAATTGGTTTTTACTAATGCAAAAAAATAAATTTAAAAGACAAAAATTAATTGATACGGATTGGTTAGATAAAAAAATCTTGAATGTGATATTTAATATTTATTTTTTATTGCATCAATTAATTTTTTTCTATTAAATTGATTTTTTTCCATTAGTAAAAAACAATTTTTATTGTGGTAATTTGGATTTTTTTTAAAATGTTCAATTTGATATATGAATTAAAAAAACGAGATTTGAAATGAAAAATAGGTTTTATTGCATTAATTTGTGAAAAAAAAAACGAATTTTAGTTATTTTTCTATAATTATTTTGCAAGTTGGTTCCCCAAAATATGAATCAGGTGCAAGTTGGTTTCCCAAAATGACGATTTTGAAAGTTGGTTCCCCAAAATAGGAATCAGGTGCAAGTTGGTTCCCCAAAATGACGATTTTGAAAGTTGGTTCCCCAAAATAGGAATTATGTGCAAGTTAGTTTCCCAAAATAACGATTTTGAAAGTTGGTTTCCCAAAATAGAAATTAGGTGAAAGTTGGTTTCATTTTGGTGCAATTTTCCCATTTAATTAATATTATTTTGTATTTATTATAATTTTTTTTATTTTTGCAAGATATTCACCATGTGGTTTATTGAAATTTTCTATATTCGTCCTTAAGCTTTTAAAATTACAACTTCCATTTCTATGGTTTATAATTTATTGTTTATTTCGTTCTTATGGTTTAAAATTCATTCTATTTCAGTTCTTCATACTTAAAAGAACAAATTGAATGAAAAAAAAAAACGTATTTTAACTTGATTTCTGTTTTGGATAACGTACTTTTAAAACTTCTATTTTGGTACTTAAGGTGTAAAATTTTAAATATTTAAGTACCCGGGTAACCTGTTGAAGCTTCAAACGGTTACCATGTTGATGTGGTATCCAATTCACTATAATATTTAATTGAATTTTAAATTCAAAAGGTAAGTCAAATCACTTGTCACATCAGCATGGTAACCGGTTCATGCTTCAACCTGTATACTTAAACGTTTAAAACTTTACATTTTAAGTACTAAAATAGAAGTTTTTAAAGTATGTTACACAAAATATGAATTAAGTTATAATACATTACCTTTTCATGCAATTTGCTCTACTTAAAAGTTAGTGTTTTAGCTCTACGGACTAAAATAAAAATGAATTACATAACCATAAAGAAAAAAACAGAAATTTTGAAACCACAATGATGAAATTTGCAATTTTTAACAAACCAAAGGGACTAAAAATGTAATTTACTCTTAAATTTAATTTGTTTAACATTCAAAATAATAGTATATAATATTAATATTATATAACAAATAATAAAATAAAAACTAATAAAAAGAAATTAAAACCCATAAAAACCAAAAATCATTTGTCGTTTTCTATTAATGTGATTACTTTTAATTTGTATTGTTTAATATTTAAATACATTGTCTAACAGTATAAAACAAATACATGATCAGTAGTTCTCATGATTTACAACCTTTTTGTAGTTCTTATTTGATTATGTCCTATAAAAAGGAGGGACAGATGGATGAAAGTTTGTTATGCTGATTGGACGTCCCATCGTCGCCCGTTCCCCTTTGTTTCCCCCATTGACGTGCTTGAATTCGTGTAACCGTGCATTAATGATAATAAGATGTTTTGTAACTGCCCATTAATAACAATGTAACTATCCGGAAATTAATCTCGTCATCGAATCAAAATCAACAGTAAGATCCCCGACACCAGATTCTTCTACATTTTTTTTGTTAATGATTCATATGTGAACAAGTATTCGATATTTATGGAAATTGTTAATGTGTGAACAGTGGTGTATATGAAAAAAAGTCGTAAATGACACAAGTGTGCATATATGTCAATTTGTGTTTGTATTTGATACAAGGTTCATATATGTCAATTTGTGTTCATAATTGACACAAGAGTTCATATATATCGAGTTGTGTTCATATGGTTGTATGAATGTTCATATGGTCACACATACTCATCATCTTTCGTATGTTCATTCAATCATTTTGGTCAATATGTGTTCATATTTATACCAATTGTACATATAGGTCAATATGTTTTCGTAATTGACACAAATGTGCATATATGTCAATTTGTGTTCGTAATTGACACAAATGGTTCATATATGTCGAGTTGTGTTTATATGGTTGTACGAATCTTCTCATATGTGAATTTGTGTTCATATGGTCACACATGTTCATCATCTTTCGTATATGTCAATTTAAACGATACCGAAAACTTTACTACCGGTCTCCTCCACCAATCACAAATTCATAAACATTAAAGATAGAAAATCAATATTAAAAAAATAACAAGATTCATAATAAGTTAACACAAATCATGAGATTTTATGATTTTGTAACTCCCAATTAATGATATAGGAGTTACATAAAAAAGAAAATTACATATGTACCCTTGTCCTTAAATTCTAAGATGGATAAGAACTTAATACTAAGATGGACTGTGATTGGTTAAAAATGATTAACAAAGTTACCA